GGTTAGGAGTGGTGGACTCCCTCACTTACAATGTGATAATTATGTACAGGGTAATAAAACAGAATGACTATTAATGGAAAATAATAAACTTTAACTGGTATCAAAATTGGGGGTTGGATTGCACAAATACGAGACACTTGATTAAATGCAGAATTGCTATTATTGGCCCTGATTCTCTGTAGCATAAATTCAACAGGGTTCCAGAAACCTTGACATGATGACACCAAACAATTGCAGATTGTTAGCTGAACATTTATGATGCCACTGTCCTGATCCATCATATTCCAATGGTACTCTACTAGATTGCAATCAAGTGACTGTGGAGCCATTTGAGTACAGTGAACTCTTCTTCAATGTTGAACCAGTTTGAGATAATTTGAGTTTTGTGACATTGGTGTGTTATCCTGCTGGAACAGCCATCAGAGGATGGCCACACTAGCAGTTTGGCCAATCTTGTCTGGCATCAACAAGGCATTTTCACCATGAGAGCTGTTGCTCACTGGATATTTCTCTGGATTTTTTGGACAGTTCTTTGTAAACTGTGGAGATGGTTGTGTGGGGAAAATCCCAGTAGATCAGCTGTTTCTGAAATACTCGCACCTACCCATCTGACTCCAAAAGTCTCTATTCTGATGCTCAGTTTGAACTTCAGCAGGTCGTTTTGATCATATCTGCCTAAATGCATTGAGTTGGTGCCATGTGACTGGCTAATTAGATATTTGTGTTAATAACAGATGTACCCAAGAAAGCTGTCAGTGAGTGTTAGATTCAGTCAGAGTATGCTAGAAGCGTGTTTAGAAAGGAAAGTAAGGCGAACTTACTTGGTATCAAACTGGTTTGCCTTGTTCTTCGTACATGAACCATAACCTTCATATTTCATTGTTCCAGTCCTGTTTTTTTCACCTCACTGTAACACAATTTCATTGTTTGCTCAGGACATTGTAATGAACTGCCTAGAAATGTCTTTGCACTTAAGGCAAGGGGATGATCAAGAACCGTTGGCCTTACTGAGTGTATTCCTCGTTTCTGTGATTCCGAGTTTTCATGCCTGTCGTCATCCTCTTTAGAGAATGAATAATTGCACATTTAAAAAGGAGCAAAAACATGTATTGTTTAAGTGAAACCCTCCAGTGAATTTGGGTAAAGTGGGAAAAAGAGAGGACAGGGAAAGTAAAAAAGAAAAACAGACTTGATGAATAAACTGAGGTAAGGAGGTGTAGATGGAAAATAAATCACCAAGGGTTGAATTGTAGAGCTCAGAATTCTGCTTTCACCTTTTCTTGAACCCTATCTTTCCACGTTAAGGTCCCTCTATTCAATGAGCCTTGTGGCTTTTTTTTTTCCAGTGCTAGTCACCCAACCACAATGATCCATCACCAATCCATGACAGAGGGACTGTCACCACTTAAAGCCACTTACTTGTGTTTATGTGTGCAGCTTTATGTCTGCATCCTCCAGCTTATTGCAGTAGAAAGCTGCTATGAGAGCTGGTCAGGCCAGGCATGCATGCATGCATCATTATTGCTTATTGTTAATAGCCGCTCTTTGACATTGTACAGTTTGTCCTTGGATACAAAAGTGCACGGCAGAGCTCAAGAGGCTCCCACATACTTGGATATCTTGTAACAATAAATTCTTTGACTGTTCAATTCGCTTATTATCCTCCACCAGTCTGATACCTGAAACCTAACCGTCTCAGATATTCGCCTGATATTTCTCCTTGTATTGTAATTTTGAAATCAATTCAAATTCGAGATGGTGTCTTGGTGTCTTATTGTGAAATTTATTTTGTTCATCCAGCACAAATGCAGAGAGACTTGGTGCACTAAAATCAATATCCTTATGGACTGTTATTTTTGTAAGACTCCTGCAGAGGTCGGGCAAAGCAATGGCGTCCTTATGCGAAGTGGCTTGGCATTAGATTAGATAAGGCAACGGAATAAATTTTTCATGCCATCATCATTACCATCATTATAACGATACCTTCCATCACTTTTCTATTACACCTTCCCGCCATCACTATCAATTATCCCTGGAACCACAATCACCAGGACAGAGCTCATTTCTCACCAAAGTGTATCCTGAATAAAACTGAGGCCTAATTGCGCTCGTTGGTGGCAGGGGACATAAAGCGTGGAAAAAATAAAGAAAGGAAAATCAATGCCTTAACTAAAGAAGCCAGTGAATTATTGATGAGGGGCATGTAATGGGATCCCAAGTGTCTGTTTCTCCTTAGCTTGGACTGCTTGCATTTCAGTTGTGGCCAAAGTAGAAACACGGGAGGTGACATAAACACCCACTAACATCTCCACAGGCAGATTAGCTGACCCGAATTACCTGGGGGTGCTGTGGCTCACACTCATGGCAGTGGTGCACACACACAAGTCCTATATGCAAGTCTTATGCGTACAGATGTAACAGTTAACCTGCATACACGCTTTCAAGCATTTAAAGTTACTTTAATCAAAGTCAGACTTTCAAGAATTTGTTGCCTCTGCTGTTTAATTTTGACAAGCACAACAATAAAGTCATATTTTATGGTGGTACTAAACTGAAAATGTTTTCTCAGACCACTGCTTAGATGTTTTAGTATTGCGCTGTTTAGCATTCCACACCATGTTGTAGCAAAGAGAACCACAGCTTAGTGTACTGATTGGGCAACTGACCATATAAAGAATCTTAGTTAACATTATTAATATACTGCACTGTGCAAAAGTCTTGAGTCACTCCCCATTTCTTAATTTTTTTGGACAAGTGGAGGACAATAGAAGGAGCCGCACCGCTAAAAACCAGAAACAACAACAAAGTATTTACAGCAGATGAAAAACTGAGAGCATTGTCCTTAAGAAATAAGAAAAAATCCACCAAATACCTGACACGTGACATCTGGTTGATTCATTTCACCGACGCCTCGTCTGAAAGGGTTTCAGGATGGAGGTACAGCCGTCTGTAAAACACGGTGGAGGCGATGTCATGGGTTGGGCATCTTGTCAAAATTGATGTTATTATGAACACAGAAAAGTACCATTAAATTTTAACCCACCATTCACTACCATCTGGAAAGCAACATGTTTTTCAGCAGTACAGTTATCCCAAATACACTGCCCAGTTAGTAATAATAATGCTGCTGTCCAGAGCCCAGACATGAATATTGCTGCTGCTTGCATGCTTTGAATGTCCTTCAAGAAGCCCGTAGTACTATTCCTAAAGACTACTTAAAGAAATTATAGGAGAATAAAGGTGGTAATACTAAATACTGACTGTTTCCTTGCAAATTATAAAGAAATGAAGCTTAAATTAAGACTTTTCCTCTCTAAATCTGAACATTTTTTAATAGATTTTTTAATAGAAAGTGACACCGGAATCTAGTGCATGTTTATTTGACTGCAATGAGGGCTTTAACCTCGATTGTTTCGTAATAATTGGGAACAAAAGATGTCGATGATGAAATTGCAGTGACATTTCAAATTGATGCTTTTGTTTGCCCAAAAGCTATTACATTAGCAAAAAATACACAAGCAGTAACATCGAGTGCTCGCTTTCGCAAAGTGAAAACAGCAAATGCTGAACATTTTTGCTTGATGAAAGACTCGAGCTATCAGTTGATTAATTTTCTGTCATCTGAACTACTCATTCAGCAAAAACAATATACCAAATAACTTTAGCTGTGACATTCAAAGCTCTTCTTAACACAGAGGTCTGTGTGATCTGTCGCGCAGTCACATATTTCTCTCTTGGCAGAGCGCAAATTTCAGTTTATCGTTGAATAAACTGCAGAAGCCTTGAATTTATTGAAGCCTTGAGATATTTAGTAAATGCTGGAACCAAAGGAACAATTACTGCCAAAATGTTTGATTTCTTTCACACTTTTCACCCAGTAACATACATACTAATTAGAATTTTAACTATGCACAGCAATTCACATGCAAAACTCCATTCCTGCTGTATTTCAGTTTGAGGAATGAAAACCTGCATTGTTTACCCACACCGTCATTGTGCTGCTTGTTTTTGCTGCCAGAGGAGAAGGCAGGCTAGCTTCTCCTTAGCTGGAGAAGAGGCAGAAAGGAGGAATGTGAATGAGAGGTAGAGAGAGGGTGGCCAGGTGAGGCCTGAAAGCTGCCTTTGTGTGGCAGCTGGCAGAAAGAACACTGACCTTCACTGTGAGGTGTGTTCTCCACACAGACACACACTGTAGGTACTGTACAAGTTTGGAGGAGTTATGAGGGGATGTTTGGCAAAAAAAAAAAAATACCGTTGCAAATTTACAAAAAGCCTTCGCTCAGTCCGTCCGCGGTGAATGGACGTCTCAGAGCCATAAAGCGGTTATGTTTTCCTGCTGTGTTTCCACATCTCAGTTTTAGATGCTAAACGCCGTCTTATTTTCTCCTTCACTGCACCTCAACTGTATCTGCTTCAGTTCAACTGGAGCTTGAAGAGCTCGATAGCATCAAGCCCAGTCAGCTGCTCCCAGTTTCTCATGCTATCACAGAAAGACTATTCCAGAAGTGAGCGCACATCATAGTACAAATGAGCCTGTAAATAGCCATCCCTTTTTATAGGAGTGTGGGAGCCGGAGAGGGATGAAGGTAGACTTGACGAAAAGATGATTTTGATGTGTGGCTGATCTCGGTTGGATGCCTTTTTGAAAGTGCGCTGAGTTAACTTTTCCCAATTTTCTCCTTATGAGCTCCAGCCGAAGAAGGATTTTGACAGCTTAAAACCCTCCGCTGGCCGTGAAACATTACCCAGCTGTGGTACTTGAGTGCTATTTGATTATATGTGTGTTTGTGTGTATTAAATGTGATCGGGAGGTTGCAGATTACATATGACTAACCGAAATGAAAAGCTATACCCACTGGGCTATGAAAAGTGTTAGTTACGGCATCTGCTGAGACAGCAGTTAAACAACTATAACCCAGTGTGTTTCTCAGTGCTGGTTGCAGAGCTGTGATGCTGCTCTGTGTACTGATGTGTATTCTTGTTTGTTTACTTCTCCCCAGGAGGGCCCCTGCAGACAGCAGTTGTGCCAGGCACTATGAGGCAGCAAGCTTGGCCTGCGAGAGCGGAGAAATCACCCTTCATCACTCTCGGCCGGGCTGGACAGCGGAAGAAATGTACAAAGCAGCAGCGCGTGCTACAGCAGAGGCGGGCTAATACACACATCTGAGCGTACAGTTGAAAGCAAATGGGAAGGCCAGAAAGAGACTGAAAGAGGGGAGTCAGTAACTTAGACTGTGTCCTTTCTAAATGGCAAAGTGGACTGGGCCACATTCAGAGGCAGCGATGTCCTTGTTAACACATTGTCCTCCATTAGAAGCTCCTTGTTAGAAGTTGCAAGTTAGTCCCAAACCCCTGTGAGGCTACAGAGCTGAGGGGACAACAAAAGTAAAAACAGAGGACGAAAGCGAGACAGAGCAGGGAAAAAGGAGACTGTCACAGGCCCTCATGCAGGCGCGTAAGAAGTATGTTCTGCTGGGCTTGTGTGCGTGCTGCTGGCTGGTCCTCTTTTACTGGGGTGGAGGAGTCCAGCTGCGTCTACTCCGCCTGCTGACACGCCACCGGGGTGATGTGATGCGCCCCTGGCCCAACTGGACCGACAGAGCCTTTTTGCCCCGCTATGCCCACTTGGATGAACTTCAGACAGACCCTGGGATGGCAGAGTCACCCCGCCAGCGGCGCCAGGCATGGTCTGCCATTTATAAAGACAGCCGCTGTCGCATGGAGACCTGTTTTGACTTCTCTCGGTGTCGCCGTAGAGGAAGGGAAGGGTTCAGAGTGTACATATATCCATCGGAGAAAAACGACCGCGTGTCGGAAAGCTACAGGAAGATCCTAACATCTATAGCCGAGTCACGGTACTACACCTCAGACCCCCGTGAGGCATGTCTGTTCGTGCTTGGTATAGACACCTTAGACAGGGACCAGCTATCAGGACAGTTTGTGCCCAATGTGGATGAACGTATCCGTGGTTACCCATTGTGGAATGACGGGCGGAACCATCTGATTTTCAACCTGTACTCAGGCACGTGGCCTAACTACACAGAGGACCTGGGCTTCAACATTGGCCAGGCCATCTTAGCCAAAGCCAGCCTCAACACAGAACATTTCAGGCCGGGCTTTGATGTCTCCATCCCTCTCTTCTCAAAGGATCACCCGCAGAAGGGTGGAGAGCGGGGCTGGCTGGTGAGGAACACAGTTCCACCACGAAGGAAGTACCTGCTGATGTTCAAAGGGAAGCGCTATCTAACGGGCATCGGCTCAGACACAAGAAATGCGCTTCATCACATTCACAATGGCAAGGACATTGTGTCGTTGACAACATGCCGCCACGGGAAGGACTGGGAGAAGCACAAAGACGCCCGCTGCGACCATGACAACCTGGAATACGAAAGGTAAGATGGGCCACAGTGAATGTATGAGTCAATGTGGCATTATATAAAGATTTTAGACACTAACTCACGTCTCTGGAAATTTAGATTCAGGTCACAACTTCCAGCGATCCTTTTTATTCTTAAATTATATTAGTCCTATTAAAGGGTGATTGTAATGTGGCTAACTTGTGGTAACTGACCTTGAGCACCCTTACTATTTAGGGTTTCAAATATATTACAGTGTGATAGATGGGCAAATTAGGGAATTCAGCCAAAGTGCACATGCAGTTATTTCCACTTTGTGTTTTGTGTTTAATAATACAAGTCCAGGAAAAAGCATAGCTGCAGCTAATGAATTACAACTGGAACTGCTGTGTGAAACGAACCAAAGCAAAGGTCAGCGCAAAGAATGGCTTTCCGAAATCTGTTAATAATAAACTGCTGTTGGGTTTAAGGGTGCTATTTTTCTTTTGTTCAGACCGTCCATGTTTTTCACGGCAAGATGTTCTTGCTCGTGTTGCACCGAGAATGCTTGTCACTGTTACTTAAGTCAAGACAAAGAGGTGGGGAGGATAAAACGCATTGAGAAATGAGCTTACAGCAACATCTAAAGGGCTTTATTGCTAAAACAATATTAATGTCGGGATGTGACATGTGAAAACAGGTTGAACAATGTCACAACTAACAAATTATATATTTCCACTGAGGTCCTGTGTGCTGTTTGAAGCTCTTCACCCAGTGGTTTTTCGCCCATTGTCGATTTAATAATGAAAAGCTTTTGGAGACACACCCATCGGCTTTGTACATTTCGCAGCAGCAGCTTGGTAAACATGTCTTTTCCTCCCTGTGCCTCCCCCTTGCTCATTTTTCCAGTCAATTAGAACCATGTGCCTCGGAGCTGATCACTACCTTTCATCGTGCGTTTCATACAGTTGTGCACTGTGAAACATCAGCATAAGCTGTTCACACCTCAGTCACATGCAAACCTTTTTTTTTTCATTTTTGCTGGGTGTTCAGCTTTTGATTCAGTTATAAAAAAAACCCAAAAAATCAAATGACTCAAAACAGGTTTATCTGCCAATGGTTGCTTTACAGCAGACACACAGGTCAACATCAACCAGACATTCAGGTTTTGGTTTACAGGAAGAATAATTAGTGCTCCCGAGCACAAAAAGCCTGAAATCCAGCATCAACACTTCTTTTTTCTGTTTACTGTAAAGAAAACGTTACACCCTGGTAATTGTTATGGACGTATTAAATGTGGAGTAGCTTTAGACCCCAGTGGCTGTTTCCATGCTTCTTAATTTGCTTTTTTTAATCAACTTTTAATAGCTTTTTTCATTAAGCAGGAGTAAATGTAATCATTTTGTATGGAGCAATCAAATATATGTTCAGTAATGTAATTCTATGACTATAGTCTACTTTTTTGTGCAATTTCTATTATCTTTTATTATTCTTTGCAGTAGCATTTACATAGAGATGAACAACACGGGCGTCTCTTTTTCGCTTCCCACTTGCTGAACTTACACTTTGCAATAAAAGTCTCTGCAGCTGAAGTGCTGACAGAGCTTCTCATTATAAAGTCAGTGCCTGTCCGTTCATAGAGACATACCATGGTATTCTGATGGTGCAGAACATTTGGAGAAAGGAGATGATGGATTCCTGCAAAGAGCAGGAAAAGAATTAGAGGTAGAAGTTCGAGTCACACCAGACTGTCAAAGCATGGCTGTATTGGGGATAACAGAATAAAACTGCAAAGCAAATTTTGGAGGGCCTATTAACATGTCAGTATACTAATATAATGAATATGGAAAGTTGTGGTGGCACACTATACAATATAATATAATTTGCTTCAAATTCCATAGTCTGTTGGTTGATCTGATCCAGGAACATGCTTTAGACTATACCGTAGGCTTGTTTACATTGGAGGCATGGGGATGGAGCTCTGTAAGACTTATGAATGAATTCATTTATTCCACTCAGCCCACTACTTAAACACCGGGTGGGGAGGTGGGAGGGTTATGAGGAGGTAGAGAGGATAGTGGGGGATGAGAGGCAGTTCCAATGTAAATCTGTGGTAGAGCAACGGCTCTGAGGGTGCAAGGGTGCGAACGGGGGAGGCAAATGGAGACAGCCGTCATTTGTACAAAAAAAGTTTTAAAAAAGCTGATTTAAAAAGAAACCTTTTCTCCTTTTGTATGAATTCTCTCTCTGTGGTGAATTAGAGATGAGAGGGGATGGGAGCAAGGGGAAGGTGCTGGATCATCTCTCTTGTTGCATCCTTTGAATTTCCCTCTGGGGGAAAGAAAAAGGGGGATTTCTGCAGGGAGAACATGAGAACCGTGGTGGCCGTTGAATTAAGACGTGTCAAAGAAACAGGAGAAGGAGAGAAAAACTGCAGGAGCAAGATTTAGATCGCGTAGCAACACATCCTCGTTACTCCATCTGTCAGCAGTTACATAGTTTGCTTCTTTATTTTTGATCAAAAATGCAAGTGAAAAACGACTGCTCTGCTCCTAATAGGCCGTGTCACTGAGAAAGCATGCTTCTTTGTTTGTGACTGTCACTGCTATACACGGCGTGCATGAGCTTGTGTTCGCGTTTGAGACCGCGTCTTGGTTAATGAGGCTCTTAGAAGGTAGCACCAGGTTAATGATCGCCTGCATCTGGTACACCAGCAGATTAGCCTTGAGAGACCTGGACAATCAGTGACATAAGCAACCCATGGGGGAGAAAAGGGAGGAGGAGGGGAAGGAGGAGGAACTAGGAAAAGGGGGGGGGGGACTCAGATGGAGCGAACAGTTGAGCGTCATGACATAATTTTTCTGCCCCAATAAAAATCCCCTCCCCCTTTTTTTTATTAGAACATGATAGGAATGCAAAAAGGTTTCCTTCTGGGTAAACACTGGCTCCTCGTTTTGTTTTAACAGTAAAAATATATGAAGTTTTATAAGGAAGAAATGCTATATGGGTGATGAGATTACATTCACTAATGTATTTCTTGCCTTTAATTGCTAAACAGCTTTCAGTATAATGTCATAGCTGGTGGATATAAAGGAAAAAATAAACTTTTTAGTCTATGAGTCTATAGAATACATATTTTTTACTGAAGAGTCTGAATGTTAGCAATTTGGTGCACAGCATGCGTAAATGGTAATAACATCGCAACTGAGGTAATAATATAAAAGCTGCGAATATCAAAGGTCCTACACTTTGAAGGTCCTAAACTGTGATACACTTGCACAGCTCATAGGCTTAGTTTCCAAATTGGAAAGCAATATTTTTACACGTAAACACGTTCATGCATACATTACATCTTTTTTTAATTAACCCCTTAACACAAGTAGCTTAATTTGTGTTAAGGTAATTGTGTTCCTCACTGACTCACAGTAGTTTACACCAAGAGGATTAAGCCTACAGACAGTCTGTGAAATTTGTCTTGAACATAATATCACCAACTCAAAATTATTTTGACCCTCGGCTCGGCCCATAGATTTAGCAAAAAAATATAAAAAATATCTTGTTGCCATCTCTAGAGGATAGATTTAGTTTTGTTGCTGAGGTTTAAAAGGTTAATAATTTCATTTCTGTTTACACTTTAGAACAAAAAAGAAAGAAGAAAAAAATCAACACTATCGTCAAGGATGTTTTTTCAGCATCAGAAGTTGAAATTATACCTTTTCATACAAATGTCTGAAGTTTATCCTCAGTATACCTCGCCATATCCACTGTGTGTAACACCAATAGAAGTTTTACCTGTTTACTCTGTCTTTATGCTCCTAAAATGTAAGTAAGTCAGTAAATTTTATTTATATAGCACATTTAAAATTAAACTGCTTTACAATAAAAAATAAATGAAACACACAAGGCTTTCGATACATTCATGCTAAATACTTTTGTACTTTATACATAATATAACAAAGCAACAACCTTTCCTTCAGCCACCGTACCAGACAGCAGCCAGTTCAAAAGCATTATTAATAAAAGCTATGTGTCCAGCTTAGATTTAAAGACGGTTTGCTCTAAAATGTTAGGTTATATTGCGTTTTTGTTGAGTTTTGTATAAGTGTTGCACTTCTGGCTTAAGGGAAAATTGGTATCTCCGTGGAAGTCCTCAAAGTACTTTTTTTTCATTAAGGGTTTGTTAAATACCTTTGTCGCTGCCAATTCTATTAACACAAAGTCACTCGTTAAAAGTGCAGAACAATTGGTAAATTGGACCCAAAGAATCCCATTAAAATGTGCCATAGGGAAAAGGCAATCTGAATAGGAACAGAAGGTGCCTGGAAATATTTTTTGGTCCGATTTTACTGGTGTGGAACTTTGAGTGTGTGTGTGAGAGAGAGAGAGCATACATGGATTATGGATGATAGGGAGGGAATACAGAATAAATAGAAAAGAGACAAGTTGGAGATAGGACACAGTGGTACCCAAGGCATAAGAGTAGCAAGATAGAAAGGAAGAAAAGAAAAATGCCATGTGATAAAAATTATTAAAAAAAAAGTTGGAGGGGGGGAGAGAGACTGGGTGATACCGCAGGCAAGTTGAGGAAAAAGCGAGTATCAAACAGGGCAGGAGGAAGGGTGGCAAAGTGGGAGAGAAAGACGGGGAAGAGGAAGAGGGAATTGGAATAGCGGCGATAGTTGAAGCAAGGGAGAAGCAGCGCTGCAGCCTAATGGCCTAGTTTCCCTCGCTTTATAGAATTCTCTAAGAAAGGGTTGGGAAACGTGCATTGTACAGTGAATGTAAATGAGCAAGAGTGCGAAAAATCGAGAGAGAGGGGAGAAAGAAAGGGAGAGAAACGTACAAAAGGTGCCGCCAAAAACACTGAGTTCTAAACTTCCAGCTAAGAAGTGTATTTGTGAAGTGGTGGCTTAACCAAAGATGGATAACACAGGAGGAGGATGAGATTTCAGTCGCTCAAATGCTGTGCATCACTGTTAGTTTTAACTGCGGTTGGTTTATATAAGTTCTTGAGTTGGAAACCGATGGTGATTATTGATGACCTCCTTTGAAGGAGG